TGCCTTTAAGGACGTCCTCCCTGTGCTGCTGTGCAGAACAGTCCCAAGTACAGACTGTAGTGCAGACTTCTGGGTGTCCAATGAGCAGTTTTTACAAGAATAAAGCAGGGAAACATCACCAGTCATTTTCCTGTTTGTTTCTGGGGAGAAGGGCCAGAGCATGGTGAAAATGAATCTGCAGAAAATGGTCAGCAGGCTGGCTGGCCTTCCTGCCTAATGTGAGTCTGAACTCTCCTAAGCTCCCTGCTCAGCTCTCTTGACAGTCAGGCTATGAACATGATTAATCACCTTTTTCAAAGTCAGGAAAAAGCAGTGAGGGTGCCTGGCAGGGCCACGCCTTGGGTCCTGGGCCCTCACCCCTGACTAGTAGGCAGGAAGGCAGCCTTCATGAGCTGTTTAGGGCCCTGCCCCTAATTGCTACTGGCCTTCCCTGGAACGTACCCATTCTCTGCAATGGAAAGGAAGTAGCTTGCCCTTCAGCACTCTTGCCACGTCCTAGCTTTGTCTCGAGCCAGAGGCAGCCCCCTCTTCTCTTGCCCTCTTCCCTACCCCCAACTACAGCTGTATTATCTGAGTGGGAGGCAGGAAGGCAGGGTGCCAGGAAGCAGCTGGTGTTCTGCTGTATCTGCACTGGAAGCTGCTGAAGGCAGTGCTGGCCTGGGAGTGCCCATGCCTACCAACAGAGGTTAAAGCCCAGAGTCCTGTGGGCCTTACTGGGTCCCTTGCCCTTATAAAAGCCTTTGACTTCCCGTCCCTAGGGCTGCCTGGGGCTCCCTGGCTGAAATCTGATAAGGGGCCTCTTTGTTGCAACTGTCAGTCTCCTTTATTGAGTAGGGAACTAGAGACCAGTGGCATTTCTTGGGGTTCAGATAAGGCCCTGGGTTCCTGTCAGGGAGAGCATGATTAATTACCCTCAATCCTAGCTCCTGCTTTGATAGCAGTGACTGACAGTCTGCAGGCTTCCCTACCAAGTGCCCCCTAGGCATGTCAGGGTAGAGATATGGCCTCCTGCAGGGCCATACCAGTGACCTAAAGCTCTCTCCACTGGGTGTCTGCAGACTGCTTTTGCATTGATTGTGGGCATGAGCTTGCCACTGTGGTTGAGGAGTCTCCAAAGAGGAGGTCGTGGTCCAGCCTGTAGAGCAGATGGAGTCCCCATGCCTTCTCTGAAGGGCTGGGAGGAACCATTGCTCGTGGACTTGAACTTCACTGACCTTGTCTTAAGCACAGTAGGGGGCCTTCCCTGGAAAAGATCCCAAATCACTCATTACAACTGCCCCTAATTCAGGCAAGCTCCATAAGCCAAGTCATTCTCCCTTTGGGAATAATCACAACTACAAATTTTTGTTTTGATTTTTTATTCATAGGCTTTTAAGACCTGAGATCTTGAAGTCATCTAGTGCAAATTTCTCATTTCACTAAAGAGGAAACTTAGGCTAAAAGTGTTGGTCCCCCACATCCACCCCCCAGTAGTATGTATTGACAAGCTCAGCTAAAAGACCTTCCCCTCTTTCTTCATAGTAGAATCTCCTTTGGACAAGAGAGATGGCTGCCAGGGCCACCAGCACAATGCTAAGGGCCCAGTTGTTTTTCTTAGTTGTCAGAATTGAAGCCAGGGCAGGTGTTTTTATTTGTGTCATCCAGATGCACATGCTCACCTAAAGCTACACTCAGGACAGCTTCAGCTTGGTCTCCAACTATGAGCTGCTCTAACCCTTTAATAGAGAGCCAGCTGCAGGACACAGTGCTGATCCCCTTACTGATTTAGTCTCCAGAACCAGGGTGCCTGATAAAGAGGTCCCATGCAGGGAGGGTACACACACTGTGGGGTACAAGAAAGCAAGACTGTGGAACACCCAGGATGCCACCAACCTTCCTGTGCACCTGGCTCCTATGGGATTTTTCCAGGAATGACTGCTCTCTCGGGTGCTGGAGACAGGCCAGCTGACAGCTGCTAGCTGCTACTGTCAACCTTAGGTCCCCTTGCCTCCTCAGGACCTGTGTTCACCCTTGCCTCCCTTCCCTAGGCATTTGTCAGGCTCCTAATTCACTGACAGTTGAGACTTTGACTCTAATAAAATTTCTGCATTGGTAACAGTGTTACCCTTAAAAGGCACCATCTGAAATGGCTGGATAGTCAAGATGGACATAAGATCCTCTCTGAGGAGCTCTTCCTAGGCCATGTGAGCCACTCTGGAAATCTGTGGTTTATGTCCACTCTGCATCTTTGATAAAACCCACTGTACGCAGACTGCTCCTCCATCCTGTTTGCTGGCTGCCTCTGGATGAATGATGGTGGTTTCCAGAAGTGTAACCTGTTGTCTGTGTCTGAAGATTTACCGCCTCTGAGGAGATCAGCAGGAAACCGTGTAGTCTGAAAACTGCTCTCACGTGCAGTTCTGAAGCATGTGGTATCTGGCTGTGCAGGGTGATCTCCTTAAGGACTGTGCTTGCTCAGCTGGGCAGGCCTTGCCGTGTCACAGATGTCCTGGGCGCTCATACTCAGCCACCTCCACACTGGCACCTTCTTTCCCTTCCTTGAGGCCCTGCCATATGGAGCCTGGTTCCTTGACTTTTTCAAAATTCCGAACCCATCTGTTCTCCTGTTGCTGGTTCTCTTGCTGTGGGACTTGGAAGCAAACAGCTGAAACACTCTGGGCCTCAGCTCCCCCAGCTATTTAATGGTGACTGCGACCCATTAGAACCTGAGAGGAGAAGTAACTTCTTGTCAGGACTGTCAGTGTAGACACTCAAGAGTGTAGGTCTCCGCAAGCCTGGGTGCTGTGGGGAAAGTTCCCAAGTGAGCTCCCTTGGAACCCATTTTCTGACTCTGAGCAGCATGGTTTTTAGTCTGTGTGGGAGGCTCATTAATATTAGCCACCATAATATTGGAGGCTGATAAAGGACAGACAGTCCCAGCTTCACAGAGCTGACCATCGTCCTGGGTTGTCACACGGACATATAAGAAACATTCAGAGAGGAATTATTTGCTGCATTTGTTGAGGAGACCTAGAAATTCTGAGAGAGAGTAGACTGGGGTAGTTTGAGAGTTCTCCCTTGAGGGAGTGGACATGGAAGGAGGTTGGGGCAGTTCCTGTGGAGGCAGGTGGCTTCCAGCCCGAACAGGGGCTGGGTCACAGAGCTAGAGCAAGCATGGTTGGAGGGGTTTGTGAGAAGGCAGTGACAGGAGTTGGTGGTGCGTGTTTGAGTATTTCACGCATGGTGAGCAGCATGGCAGACCTGGGTCATGTGACTGGATGTGTGGTGTAGGTGGTGAGCAGTGAGTGCCATTGGAGGTTTTTAAACAAGGAAATGGGTGATGTGGTTGAAGCAGCACTTTAATAAGACTGTGCCTGTAGTGTACAAGGCAAGCATGTGGCCAGAGACCACTTTACCCATCTAATGGTAAACCAATAACCAGTAAGGGCCTGGGCCAGAAAGATCGTTGCTTTCAAGAGAGAGAGACCTCCAGGAAGTGAATCAGTAGATCCCTAACAGCCTGGGATTTGGAGGTAAAGGACAAGCAGAGCCGCTGCCCAGGACACTGGTGTCTCTGGGGATAGTGAAGGCGAGGTCAGTGTACATATCCAACTCTGAGATGAACAGCACATTTATGTAAATGCTGGAGAAGTCAGGTAGTGACCTGTGTGAGGGGACCTAAGTGATGCCCCAGAAAGTGTGGGGTAACCACAGCAGGGTGTGTGTCAGCGCACAGGCCTTTGAAAAGAAGTGGTGCCCAGCATTCCTGCCTGCCATTGGCCAGGCCCACCACCTCAGGCTTTTCTCTGTGGCCAGAGTAAGGTCCACTGGCTGGTCAAGGAAAGGGTCCTCAAGCAGGGTGGTTCCCTCCCCATCTTAGAAAAGAAACACTATCCTGCCTTAGCACCCTATGTGTCTATACACATAAGCTGTCCTTTGCTTCCTCCTGTGACTGAATGGTCCTATAAGAAAGAGTGGGGTGGGCGGGCAGTTCTGGGTGGGGAAAAAAATGCCTACATTAGAGGAGAGAAAGCAAGAGGACCACAAGCCAAATGGGCTCAAAACTACCAGGCAGCTCAGTGGGGCCTCAGTGCTGTGGGGGCAGGGAGAGGAGGAAGGGCAGGAGCAGCAGCCTGTGTACAGTAAAAGGAGCTGACCATCAAAAGGCAACAAGTCTCTTACCCTGCCCCGGACGGTGACCCTTCCCTGTGGAATTCTCCCCTTTAACCTCCAGATCATTAATCCTGGGGCTGCCAAATGACAGTCATCCATCACGCCTCCTGACGAGCATCCCAGCCACCGTGAAAGGACCTGGCCCCGCCCTCCCTGTGTCCCTTGGTGCTCATTAGTAGCCCTTCCTGCCCCGGTGCCAGGTTTCCTAATCAAGTCCCTGGCTCTTCTCACTTCCCCTTGGGGCCGGTAGGCGGAAGCTGCTCTGACCCACCCTTTTTCTAGAGCCAGGGAGGGGGTGGGTGATTAGTGGAGAGAGAATTGTTGAGTGGCTCTGCATTCCCCCGAGACCTGTGTGTCCAGCAGCTCCGTCGACATGGTGAGGCACACAGAACAGAAGGGAGCCTCGTCTTTGTCCTGCAGCAGGAGAGGAGAATGCAGGCCACAGGCAAAGGCACACGCTGTACGTGAATGGCATTTGGGAGCTCCCAGACCAGGAGATGAGGAAGGCTTCCCAGAGCAGTGGAAGTTGCCAAATCATGGAAAAAATCCCAACATGCCACCAAAAAACACAAAACACGTGGAATTCATCTCATCTGGCTCTTATATTTACCAGATAGGAAAACCGATCCAGAAAGGCCAGTCCTCTTGCCTGAGGTCACACAGCCTGAGAGTTGAGCCTGTCTTCTTTGACCTAGAGAACTGACTCTAGTCAGGTAGCTTCCAGGCTTGGGGAGCTTTAGTCAAATCCCACTTTTAAACAGATGCATAAACACCATTTCCCATTCAAGTAACGGTGAGCATGCCCAGAAGTCTTATATTTCCCTCCCCTTCTCATTGGATGGTCACAGGAACCCCCATCAACCGGATCCCCATCATGGCCAAGCAAATCCTGGACCTGTACATGCTGTATAAGCTGGTGACAGAGAAGGGAGGCCTGGTGGAGATCATCAACAAGAAGATCTGGAGGGAAATCACCAAAGGCCTGAACCTGCCCACCTCCATCACCAGCGCTGCCTTTACTCTCAGGACCCAGTGAGTGGCCAGGGCTGGGGAAGGAAGCCAGAGAAGCCGGGGAAAGGGGATGATTTAGTCCCGAGGCAGGGAGGAAGGAAGGAAATTCCAGTGTACAGTAAGCCAAAGGAGTGAATTCCTGAGCCAGCAGTGAGCTTGACAGATGACTGCTTAGCTAGACCAGGTAATAGAGTTACTCTTGACCTGGTGTCTCTTGTGTGTTGGTTCTTTACCTTTCTGTTTTCCCTAAACCTCACAGTCAATCCTGAAGAGACATTGTGCCATTTTTCAGATTACCAAAACTAATTCTCTGAGATTAAATGATTTGTCCAAGGCCATCCCGGCCCCTAAGTGGTCAACCTGAGATTCAAACCCGGGCTCCTAGGCTCCTATCTCAAATCCACAAACTCTCTGGCACTGTTCCCAAGGATCACTTCTGCCTCAAGTGGCCATCCCATCTGCACCCAGTCTCCGTGGGGTTGCTGCTATACCAAGAAGTAGTAGTGGAGAATGAGAGCCAGAGACAGGAAATGGAACAGTTGACATATCAGTCAGATAGTGTGGCATGGCCTCCTTGTTCAATGGAGGAGGGTTTTATTTATTAGGGGCTTTTCCAGTAAGAGCTAGAGACAGCTGTAACCACAGTGGGAAGCTTCTTGGGAGAGACTTGCTTCTTGGAACATAGGACACTAAAGACAGAACTCCTGGGTCCTGTGCCCAGTGGAGAGGATTGTTTGCTTCAGACAAGTCTAACTTGCACAAATGAGATCAAGAGGCCAGGAAGGCTTGGGCCTTGTATCCCTCAAAGCACCAAAGTAAATGTACAGATAAGCTGAGATGTTAGTCATTTCCCTTAATGAATAGTGCTTGTGATTTGAGCCATGTTGCAGGTAGGAGTAGGAGGAGTCTGGGCAGTTCATCCAGTGGCCCCAGACTTTGTAAGCACACCCTATTCTCTGCCCAGTGGAGGCTGCTCCCAGAGACCATTGCCAAGCCTGGGCAGTCTGTGCCGCTGGTTTGGTGGTTCTCCTTGTTTCTTTCTTCCCTGCAGGTACATGAAGTATCTCTATGCCTACGAATGTGAGAAAAAGGCCCTGAGCTCCCCTGCTGAGCTGCAGGCTGCCATCGACGGCAACCGCAGGGAGGGCAGGCGGCCTAGCTACAGCTCCTCCCTCTTTGGCTACTCACCCACTGCTGCCACTGCTGCTGCTGCTGCTGGGGCCCCTGCCCTTCTCTCACCACCCAAGATCCGCTTCCCAGTCCTGGGGCTTGCCTCCAGCAGTGGCACCAGTGCCAGTGGTCCTCGGCTGTCACCAGCAGCCACTCTCAGGAAAGGTCAGCAGGCCCTTGGGGAGAAGGGAAAAACCCTGTGTCCCTGTGTCTGAGATGGGGTTGTGGGTGGCAGGGGTGAGTATGGGCCAGCTCCAGTTCCTTTGCAGGTGACGGGGTCCCCACAACCACAGTGCCCGTGCCAAATCGCCTGGCTGTGCCCGTGGCTCTGGCGGGGCCACAGGCAGGGAGTCGGGTGGCCGCACTGGAACAGCTGCGGGAGCGTCTAGAGTCAGGGGAGCCAGCCGAGAAGAAGGCAGCAAGGCTGTCAGAGGAGGAGCAGCGCCTGGTACAGCAGGCCTTCCAGCGTAACCTTTTCAGCATGGCACGGCAGCTGCCTGTGAAGATCCGTATCAACGGCAGGGGTGGGTGTGTCATTGCAGCCTCAGCTCCACACCTGGGGCAGGGTGGGCGAGTTGCACAGTCCTGACCCTGAAAGAGCCGCTGTGTTCTCAAGATGCTGGGATCTTGGGGCAGGGGGAGAGGGCACTAGAGGCTGCCTCAGGCCATGCCCTGTTCCCTTCAAGGAGGTGGGAGTATAGGAGGCTGTGCTCCCTCTCCAGTGGCCTTTTGATCAGTCTAAACCAAAGGGCTTGGCTGCCCTGTGGTCCCTCACAGATGCAGGTCAGCACAGGGCACGGTGGTCAGGTTCAAGAGGGTGACACCCTATGATCCCGAAGCCCAGCAAGGTGCCAGGAGCCCTTGGGAACACAAGGCTGTAGGAAACATTAGGATGCATAACATATCTTTTCCATTCCCCCTCCACTTTTTTAAAGTGCCCGCTTCTCTTCACAAACCACACACTACATTTCTTTTGTTTCTCCTGTGCTTCCCCTTTCACACACCTGTCCTTCACCATTCTTGCCAAGGTGAGTGAGTAATGCTGAAGGAGGCAGGTATGAAGGGAGCAGTCACTGTCAGCCCCACTTTCCTAGTCGAGGAGAGGACAGATATCCTGGCCCTGCACAAAGCCAGGTTAAAATAAAAGCTGCTCACCTGAAAAAATTCTTGGCTCTCCATTACAGGTGGAGGGCCAAGTGCTGAGGGCAAAAGCCCCCTCTCTATAGAACTCACCATTAAGGGACAGTAGCACAGAGTTTGTCCCCAGAATCGGGGTACTTCCTGTCTGGCTTCCAGACTGTTGTGTGGCAGATCTGGTTAGGATTTGTGATCCACATCCACAAGGCTGGTGCCTATGGTTGGGCCAGGCCAGCCTGCTCACTGGGAGAGGAGGGCATTGGAGATTTGGTGAGCTCAGTCTCCACCAGCCCATGAGCTCAGGAGATGGTCATATTGGTGCTCTCTAACAGCACCAGAGGACAGTGGGAGTCCTGACCTGGCCAGTTTCTCCCTATCCTAGCAGAAGACAGAGGAGAAGCCTCAGCTGCTGCGCTGAACCTGACCCCAAGCAGCATTGGGAGCATTAACATGTCTGTGGACATCGATGGTACCACCTACTCAGGTAGGCCCCGGCCAGCCACTGTGCCATCCCTTGCTGGCCCTGCTGTCACCCTCAGGCCCAGATGCACATGGGATGCTTCCTGCCAGATTGTTAGTAGGATGATAGGTTCCCTCTATGTTTACAGAATCCCTTCCTCTAACCAGTTTGATCAATGTGAGGTTTTCTAATAAGTGCTGCGTCCATACCCTTAGATATTGTACTGAAGGTTAAGTCGGAGTCTGCCATGCACAGGTCGCCTTTCTGACTGCAAAACACTCATAATACATTATCAGTCATTTCCTGGCTTTAAAGTAGACTAAGGACTGAGACCCCAGCAGCAGAATCTGAATGCTGCTGGATCAGCCTGTTTGGTTAGTTGACTTAGCACCTTGACCAAGTCTTTCCAGGATGTTTGACTTAGTACTCAACAAAACAGAAGTCCTTTTCTCCTACCACCTCACTGGTTAGGGATGGGCATGGGGACAACCTGTCTGAATCTTGTCAAGCACCCTGGATGACTGGTGGCCACAGAACTGGCCAGGATGTCGCCTGTTTTTTCTGAAGGTATGGAGTGTCACCAGCTGGGGAGGTGGCCAGTGCAAGGAGTGTGAAGCCCTGCGGCCACACATTCCTTGGAAATGGGGCATTTCACCAGGCTTGCACCTATCCATTTAAATCATCTGTTCTGGAGGTTGCCCCCCATGCAGCACCACCCTGCAGGCTTCCTAAGGTCCCTTTCACACTCTGGATCTCTGCTGAGACAGTTGCCACAAGGACATCTGCCAGTGCCTTGCATCATCCTGTGTCTGCGAGCCACATTCAGAGGACTTTGCCTGGCCCAGGAGCCCATAGAAAACATAAGGCCTAGTGGCTCATAGAGAGAGGCTAGGGGCTGGGGTTTAGGTCCCGGAGAGAGCAAGAAGCAAGAGCTGGGGACCAGACCTTTGTGTCTTGTCTCTCCAAGAGAATAGACAGCTTCTTCCCTCTCACGAGTGGGAGGGTCAGGAGCTCAGGCTTCCTACACCCCTGAAGAGAAGGGAGCCAGTCACCTACTCCACCACTGTAGTCCCTGTGCTGGTGCTCTTTCCCAGGGGTTAGGGTGAAGGTCCTGAGAGCATCCCAGCCAGGCCTATCCAGGCCTCCCTTCCACCAGCTCTGCCTCTGTCAGTCCTGCCCTGCAGCCTCCCATCCTGTGTCAGCCATACTTCTCTCACCCCAGAGCATCCAGAAGGTCAGATCTCAGGAGTCTGTTCCCGCTCAGAGTCTAAGGGCCTCCTTGGTTGTGGGTAGCACTAGACTTCCCAAGTAGTACCAAAGCCCTGTCGTGCCGCCCTGCTGTCCACTTACCTTTCCAGCCCCATCTGCTGTAGCCCTAGTAACTGACACTCCCTGGTTGCCCTTTCTGCTGTGATCAGGTGTCTGGCTCCCTGGAACTGCCTTCCCTTAGCTACTGCCTCTTTTCCAGCCCTTGAGCAACATCTCTGCCTGTAGGACCCCTCTGTGCTCTTACAGCACCCTGCAGTGGGCGCTCAGGCATTTACGTTTGTGCCCTTGGCAGCCCAGGCAGGAGAACCGGAGGGTCTCTGTATGTATCCAGCACAGTGCCAGGTGTGAGGGCCACAAGGGAGCCTGCAGTGGGTGCTTGTTGGTGATGGATCTGCATCTATTCCCCTAGGTGTGCTGTTTGCCCAGAAGCCCATGGTTCACCTCATCACAGGCCCCACTGCCCAGAGTGTCGTCGGAAGCAGCTCTGGCGGTGGTGGCAGCAGCAGTGGTGGCTCTCACTGTTCACAGAGTCCTACCTCTTCCCGGGGCACCCCCAGTGCGGAGCCCTCCACCAGCTGGTCTCTCTGACAGCAGCACCCAGCTGCCTCTGCCCTGCCCTCTAGCCAGGAGTGGCAGAAGCTGCCGCACAGAATTTACCTCGTCTCACGGAGCCTGTTGTTCAGGGACTGGGTGTGTCCATCTGTCCAGGCTCCATTCAGGTCCTGCTGTCCTCTGGGGGCAGGGATAGGTGGGAGGGGCAGGACAGGGCAGCGTTGTCCAATCAGGGATCATCCTGGAGGCCTGGGCAGGGGTCTGGTAGCCCTACTTCCTCCAGGGTCCCCGCCTGTCTCCTACCCCGGGGCACAGTGTATCGACAATCTGTAAGCCGACACAGGGCTGGACGCCTCCACTTCCTTCCCCCTTAATTTATTTCCCTTCCTCCACTTTCTGCCATTACCCCAGGGTCACTGGTCTCATCCTCTGTGTGGCTCCCTCATTTTTAAATCCTGTGTGGGCTGCTGGGGCCAAGTGACTGCCTTCATGGCTCTCAGCTGCTGAGCATGGGTTCCACCCTCCCAGCCCTCCTGTCTGCTCTTGGTTCCCAGAGGCTGGGGTCCCTCAAATCCAAATCTAACATCAGACCTCAGGGCCCCATGTCCCCCTCTAGTGGGGGACACCTGAAAGAGCACAGGGCAAGCTTCAGGCCCGGGACTCTGGGCATCTGCCAGGATGGGTGAGGGCTTGGACTACCTGGGCCCTGGTACCCACTTCACGGGACCCCACGCAACCCTCCCTTACCTCAGGATCTCCATTTGCCTTTGTTGGCCACTCTCCCACCTTAGCTTCCTTGTCCCTGCCCTGTCACAGTCTCTTGGGGCCATCTCTGCCCCACCAGCCCCAGATGCGCTGATATCAGGTCACTGAAATACCTCAGATTTGTAATTGTTGACGTTTGATTCTTCAGGAAGTATTTGCATCTCTGAAATCTTTTTTATATATGTTTTGCTGACTTTGGTATTTTATTTTTAAATTTTTGTTGTTGTTGTTGTTGTTGTTGTTATAGCACCAAAGAAGAAGTAAGAGCAGATCACCACAGCCAGGTGCACTTGGTAGCCAGCCCCTTGGCCCTACCCATGCACCCTGGAGGGAGGAAGCAGGCGGGGTGACTCAGGGATCCCTGAGGCAGTAGAGTGGGGTGGAGAGGCCTGTGCTTGCCTGCAGGGCCAGAAACTATGCCAGTCCCAGGACATCCCTGACCGTGCCACTGCCCCTGCCCTGCCATGCATACTGTGGGGCCATGCTGCCTGCCGGAGCCCACCACCAGGGAGTGGGAGTGGGAGTGGGAGGTGCCAGGGCTGGTACAGGCTACTCCTTCCCACAGTGCCACTTGCACAGGTCACCTCAGCCGGGCATGCTGCCACTGTTACTCCTGGGCTCAGTCCTGTCCAGGAAGAGAAAGGGAAATGAGAAGCTCATGCACAGACATACCTCAACCCAGCCAGCCACTCCGCTGGCCTGCGCTCCTCCCCGCCCCGGCCCTCTACATGCCCGTGCATGCGCGCGCGTGCGCACACACACACACACACACACACACACACAGCCCACCTGCCCACCCACTGCAGGCTGCCCTTTGCCTGCAGAAACCTTGCCCAGCTGTGGTAGGGAAGGGACAAGGTTCTGGTACCAGTGCAGAGGCCCAGTGGCCAGCATTGGCCTACCTCCCTCTGAAGTGTGTCAGACACTTGGCCAAAGTGTCTTTCTCAGGGTTTGGTCACGAAGGATGGACTCTCCCACCCAGAGGATATGGGGACATGCACCAGGTCTCTGGTCACAGGCCCTCCCCTTTTCGTTCTTACCTGGCCGTGTGCCCAGCCCATCCCTCAGCGCCCCAACCTGGGCCTGGTCCAGCCTGAGCAGGGCATCTAAGGGTGCTTTGTCCCCTGTCCCTTTGTATTCCAACAGCAGTGTGGTAGCACACAGGTAGCCTAGGCAGTAAGTACATACCTCAGACGTTCTCGCAAGTGTCTGTATATGTCGTGGTTGTTTTCTTACATGTTCTGAATGTTTATATTTCAATAAACCTCTACCTCTTCACACGGCAGGCCTCAGTTGCTTTGCTGACTCTTCCACTGTGCAGGGACCTTAGGGTGATGGGGCCAGGTGGCTGCTCCTCATCCCTGGGCTTCCCTGACCTGTCCTCCCCAGAGCACTCAAGCTTATCTGCTGGTGGCAGGGTGCTCAGCATGGCCTGATCACCAAGACTGACTCTAGTGAGTCACATTGGTGGTGTGACAGGCCCAGGCCCTAGGATATCTCATTGGCTCAGCAAGCCCCAGCTGAGCACCTGCTGGGCCAGATGCAGAGAAGGCACAGTGTCTGGACAAAGATGGGGTATTTTGTTTGTTTGTTTGTTTGTTTGTTTTGCAGTGCTGGGAATTAAACCCAAAGCCTTAGAAGTAAATTATAAACCCTGCCTTTTTGATGTTTTAATTTGAGACGGGTCTTGCTGAGTTGCCCAGATTAGGCTAAAACTTGAGATACTCCTGCCTCAGCCTCCCAGTACACTGGGATTACAAGTGTGCGCCATCATGCTCAGTTACAGACCTGTTCTTTTGGATCCTACGTGATCTGGGCTCTTAATAGGCTGTGGGATGGAAAGCTGGGGCAGCTCAGAGGTCATCTTTGGGTGGCTGCAGAGGTGGTAGTGTTAAGCTGGAAGAACAGGTCTGGTCTGTATGAACCAGCATCTGTGGCTAATGATGAGGGACAAGGATGGAGGTGAGGTTTGGCACAGCTGGCATAAGAATGGATCCAGGCTGAGGGACTTCGGAGCCTCAGAAGATGTGTTTTAAGCCAGGTTCCGGCTTGGGCTCTTTTAAAAGAGTGACCGAGGCCCTGGTGCCATGTGGACCATGGGACAGACACCCCAGGAGGACTTGAGCCAGACCCAGATTACTCAGCTCCTCTACCTAGACACGTGCTGGGCATGGCTCGAAGTATGCAAAGGTGAAGCCCTGGTGTCTGGGACAGTGCGTGTGTACCTGTCTGTGCCAACCTCTGACGGTCTGGCAGAGACCCCTTTCTCTGCTATTGGAAGTGCTAGAAGGGTGGCATCAGGATAGTCCTGAGCTGCCGCTTTATGATCTTGAGAATCTTTTGAAAGAAATAAATCCTTTAGTACTTTGCTGGCACCCAGTCATGGGTATGACACTTCCCAGCCACCAGTGCCTCATAGATGGTGAGTGGGCCTCACCAAGGTACAGGGAGGTGACACGCTCCAAGACCTTGATATGAGGGGAGGTGCCACTGCAGGGACAGGCTGGGGGCAGCGGCTGAGCAAGGCCCTTTGAGGACAGGGTGGTTTTTATTGCTTAGTTACTAAGACAAAAACAAAAGGAAGGCCGTGGAGTGGGAACAAGGTCAAACCAGTGCTTTGCACAAAAGGAACTATGCACAGTTCCACCTCACTGGTGACCTGGGTGGTGCCCAGGATGCCCTTGCACACACCAGAGTGGCTCTAGTGTTATTTGGTGCCTGTCCTGGCCAGGACACTGCAACAGGACTCACACTGTGCGTGCTGAGCATGCACTGGCCTCGGCCTGGGGCTGTACCGCTGGATTTGCTCCCTGGCCATTGAGCAGGAGGGTCCGTGCACACCGACGCACTCAGCTCTACACGGTTGATACATTTCATCCTCTTGCCTGTTTGTGAGGTGGGGCCATTTTCCCCTAATACAGATGGGAAAATGGGTACAGAGAGGTTGAGCAGCAAGCCTGAGGTCCCACATCCCCGGCAGTGCCTCACTTGATGCCACTCCATGAGTTACATGCTCATTTTACAGTTGAAGAAAAGGGGACAGAAAAGTACTACTTGAGGTCACAGATCTAGTAATGGTATGGCTGAGGTCAGGCTTCAAACTGCCCTTTAGCCTCTCCCCATCATGGGGTGGAGGGCCCAGGGGTGTCTGTACCCAGTCTCTGCTGTGCCATGCTGCCAGGGTTCCCCCTGGAAGACCTTTAGCAGTTGCAAGGAATGCTTTCCTGGCCACACCCAGTGACCTCCCTCCCTCCGCGTGTTCCCCAGAGGTAGCAGAAGGGAGGACCCTTAGGAAAGCTGTACCTCCGATGCAAGGAGTCTGTGTCCCTGCTGAAAAGGAAGGGGACATGGTGCCTGAGAAAGGGGCTTCTGAAAGAGGCAAGGAGAGAAGGAATCCTCAAGCAGAAGGAGCTAGAGTAGGAAGGGTGTGAGGGCTGCGGAGCTTGGGGACAGTGACATACAAGTCCTAGCAGCTACAAGGACACGGACAGATGAGGGTAAAAGAAGCCAGGACATAGGTGCACACCTGCAGTCTTGAACTTGGGAGCTTGAGGGGGAGGATCACCAACACAGCAGACCCACATCAAGAAAAAGATAGGCAAGACCAAGGTGGTAGAGAGGCTGGCTCCCCTCACCGGGTGAGGCAGGGGCTGAGGGGTAGCAGGACAGTCCCGAGTTTGGAGTGTCAGTGTAGATCCAAACTCACTCCAAAGTGTCACATTTGGAGCTGTGGTCTGGGCAGAAGGAGCTGGCTGCTGGGGGCATGACCTGGAAGGGTGTATTGTCCCCAGTTCCTCAGTTCACTTTCTGGCCAGCCATCCTCTGCCAGGCTCTTCCCACCATCCTGGAATGGTGCTTCTGCACTGGAGCCAATTGGCCATGGGCTGAATCCTCTGAAACCGTGAGCAAACTAATCTTCAAATCGCAGATGCCAGGTATTTTGTCCCAGTGGCAAAGTTAACGACAGAGTGGCACTGGGGGTGTTTGCCCTTGAAGACCTGTGACCAAGCAGGCAGGCAGGCAGAAGAGAGGGACTTATTGTCTCAGTCGGGTGGGTTTGGGGTTTGGGTGGTTGTTTTTGTTGTTTTTTCTTTGCATTGCTGGGGTGGAACTCTGGCTCGCATGTGCCAGGCAAGCTCTCATCACAGAGCTGTACCACAGTCCAAGATAGGGTCACCCTCAGGCAGCTGGGCTTAATGTTGGCCATAGGAAGACCCAGAACCTGGGATGCAGAGCCATGGAAGGTGTCCTCTCTCCAAAGTCCACCTTGAAGGTTTGATATCTCCCTATGTAAGGACCTCAGGTCTGTTTTGGAACAGTCAGCTTCTTTTGCTCCACTGAAACCCAGCTCTCCATGTGGTGAGGAATAGGGTAGCTGGAAGTTCACAGGTTTTATGCATCCATCTTCAGCCCTAGAGGGACTGCTCTGGCTCTGGGTCCCAGGATTCAGGAGGGGCCTACAGGCCTCACTGGTTCAGCACCCAGATCAGGAGCTGGCATGCGAGGCTTGGGTAGATCTTGGAAAACCCACTGGGGAAGGCTCCTCTGCACACGTCACTGCCTCCATCAGGAGTGAGCAGGATGGGGCTGTGATGGACCTGCAGTCCAGGGGCCAGGGCCTGCCTGACCAACCTCTGCGGGGGAACATGTTCCATAGCCATGGGAGAGGAGTGAGGAGAGGTGTGGCCAGTGACCTCAAACAGACCTTGCTATAGCCACTGAGGATGGCAGTGCCCCCAGCTCAGAACAGGCAGTGTGACATGATCAGCCACCTTTCTGGGGCAGGTATGGGATGGGCTTAGCTGCTGTTTGTGTCACCTATGGCGAATGCCCACCCTTCTCTGGGCCAGCTTCTTCATGAAACAAGGTAGTGTGACCTGGGGCACAGTAAATAGGCACTCACTTTTAAATATTCAAAATCCAGAATACGAGGCCTTGGCCAGGAAGACCAAGGGCATTGTGCTAGCACTGGGCCAGCCATGTTCCACAAGGACTCTGTGCCTCCTGGCCACCCCCACCCAGCTCCACAGAGAATCAGGGACCTCAGCAATGCCAGGCATCTTGGGTTCCATGGCAGACATGGGGCAGGGAGAGGTTTCTGCAGGGAGGCCCTGACTGCAGACCATGGCTATGACTGTCCCTGCGTGCTCTGGGGCACAGCCAAGTGTCCACTGGCCAGCAGATCCTCAGTACTCCTCTACAGTGCCGGGGCTGTGGCACTGAGAAATACACAGGTGCCCAAGCAGGGGGAGGCCAGCTGAGGACCCGGGAAAACTCAGCAGAGAAACCAACTGACGAGAATACTGAGGCACAGGGGTCACTCCTATCCTTAAGGGTGCTCAAATGCAACTTTCAGGGGTTTCGAGGTGGCTACAGGCTCCAGTCCTCCTGGCACCCAAGCCCTTGGTGCTCCCTAAGGAACATTCCCAACCTCTTCCCTAAGGTCCCCGGAGCGCAGCAGAGCCCATGAGTTCCTCCCTGCAGGGACTCAAGGATGAGGAGCCTGTACCATCCCCAGGCCACCATCACAGCTGCTCATCACACCCCATTGTGTCTGATCTTAGTAAGGTGAACAAATGAAGCCTTGCTGATTGGACACGAAGCTGCAGCTCCCAGGTGCCTTGTTGGTGTGTGTTATTCTTCGTGTGTGTCTCTGTGCACTTCCGGGAGTTGCATGTGTCTAGAGCCTGTGCACATCTGGGTCTCTTGGGCACATGTGCATTTGTTCAGGGAACTAAACAGAGATTGTTGGGAAGAGTTTCCAGGCTGCCATGGAAGTTGGGTGGACACATTCTGGATACCCGAGCGCTGTTCCACATGTCACAGTACCCCTTGTCGATGCTATTTCTCCACCTGGATCACGGATCCCCCTCTTCTCCCTGTTGTACATGCTGTGTCTCCCCACCCCTGAAATACCCCATCTTCCTTCTCCTCTGTGAGGGGCAGACTCAGAAATCCTCCTGGGGGAGAACTGCTATCTGTTGCTTCCCCGTCCAGCTCCCACAATGCCTCTACCCTCATCGGGCACATTAAATATAACTGCCTGCTCCATGACACCACGACTTCCTACCCCGAGCCATATGCTTTAGGGGACAAGGAGTAGGCCGGTCTGACCTCGATTCTCCTGTGCAAGAAGAGGGCCAGGTGTGTAGTAGGTGTTCAGTAACTGCACGCTGAGTGAATGAATGACAGAATGGTGGAACATGAAGAAAGGAAAGGGAAGGAAGTATAGGATAAAGCGAGGGCATCCTGGGAAGAAGAGACTTGTTGGCCTGCAGGAAGAAAGGCAGGGAGTAGGAAAGGGAAGGAGGGTGACAGCACCCAGCCAGGAAGGCTAGACCCACTCTGTCTCTGGAGTCTGCAGTGCCTCCTCTGTAAGTTTCTGGAGTATGCTGGTGAATTGGCAGTCTGGGCACAGCATGGATCCCAGACCATGAAGGGTTTACCTGGGAAGGCGGTGGGCAGAGAGGCCTCTCTTATGGCCCCTGGGCACCCCAAACCACTATGTCGTGGGAATAACCTGCCCCTGCACCTGCTGGAGCCCAGCAGCTCAGGATGTCTCACCCACCCCTCTTCCCCTGCCACCTCTGGGTTGGCCAGGAGTGGAAGGGACAGAACTTCCCATGCCTTCATGAAAGAGCCAGAATGTGACAGCTGGGTGCCCTG